AATAAACACCAAGAAATCCTTTCTTGCCCAGGAAGGAGAGATGAGACCGGAAAGAAAGGTGAAGTGTGAGAATGAAAGCGAATGAAATCTGGACCCGCAAGTGCTCTTGGCTGCTGTCTGTATCTCCTTGTATCTGACCCTTGCAGCATCAGTTCCATGGTGGAGAATAAGCCAGATGCCCCAAGTCCAAGTCTCAGTCCTGCTGTAGTCTTTAGGCCATTCTTCCAGCCATCATGTGTGAGGTTCCTGGAGGAGCCTACCCCTGTTCATTGCCTGCACAAGCTTCTTAATGTTGGCTGCCTGAAAATAGCATCATATGGATATAGGGAGACTGTGGAAGCTGAGACAGTGATACATGCAAAGAGTAGGGAGGAGAGAGGAGCTAGCTCTGACCATCCAACCAAGCAGCCTGCATTATGGCACCTGCAAATACATCTTCCCAAACTGCTTACCTGCAGCATTGTGATTTGCATTGCATAGGCCTCTCTGTGTGCTTAAGTGCTCTGTGTTTCCATACAAGAGGGTGGTACGCAGGGCCTCACCCAGGGCGCGTTGCATTCCCAGTGATTCCCAGTGTTGCGCTGTGCCAGTTGAACAGAAGTCCTTAATTCACCCTTTTGCCAACACTGTCCCTTCAGTGCACTCCTCTAAACCAGAGGATGTGGGGAAACCTTGTCAATATTTTTCTCTTCTCAGTGGCCTTGCCTGTGCTGGAAGATTGAAAGGTACAGACAAACTCCATCCAAAGGAACTGTTGGTCTTATAATTAAATGGGAGTAGAAAGGGACAGTTGTGGGTAGGAGATGGGGCTGCGATGGGTTCTCCTTCTGGCAGTAGTGACCTGTTCTGTAGCTGGATGCTGCCCAGTATTCTCCACGCTTACATGGCATGTGCAGCGTGCACCTGGGACAGTGGAGCGAGCCGAAGGGAGCAGCAGAAAGCAAGCTGGCCAGCGCGCAGCAGCTCAGCTGCAGAATGAGGTTGTTACGGCCCCCGGAGTGCCAAGGCGTTAGGGGGGTGCCTGACTCACTCTGCTGGCCTCTTCCATGGCTGCCACTCTGGTGTTGAAAGCTTGCAGGGACTGCTAGGGTAAAAAAGAAACGACAGGGAAGGGAAAAAACAACTTTAAAATTCAAAACTAGCCCAGCTGCTCTCCATTATTTTGCCAGCTCTGTTGCTTTCTTTTCTGGGCTGGATTCTCATTCCAGTGCAGGCTCCAGAGATGCCTTGAATAGCCTCAGCCCTTCCTGTTATTTTTTTTTTTTTGGTTCATGTACATATATAAGCAATTTCATTCTTTGCACAAACCAAACCCTGACGTTCTGGTCCCTCCTTGCTGAGGAGCCTGATGCAGCAGTTGGTTATTCCCCCAGCTCGCGTACCCCTGCCCTGCCCTCCCCGCCTACAGAGCCGCGCAGGGAACCTGTGGGGCCCAGCTGGTCATTTTTATTGAACGCTGTCTAACTGATCACACTGTGTCTGAGCCCTTGGGTGGGTGAGGAGGTGGGAGAGACAGCAGCAGCTTGCAGCACCTTTGCTTGCCTGGCTATGGTTTTTATTTTTCCCCCCTCCTTTTCTGTTATTAATTTGTAAGGGACTGGCTCCTGCTCACCACTCTTTGTACAACCCAAGGACGGGCTTGTGTAGCTGATAGTTTGCAAATTATTTGTAATTTGATTTCAGTTGGATGAATAACCCGTTAAAGCAAGACGTACATTAGCCTCAGAAATCTAATTGGTGATAACGGCATAGAGATGTGGAATGAGTGCTTGGTTCTGCTCCCTATCCCTCTCCCCTCCCCCCCAAAAAAAGATAATTAGGATTTAATTTCATTCTCACCTATTCATTTGTCTAAATATGGGTGTTTAATTATCCATCTCGACAGATAGATGTTTCAGCTTCTGTGTGGATCTGAGCTATTCCTTTGGTATGAGGTTTTCCCTCCCCCCTACTTATAACTCTCTGATGCAGTGTTCTTGTACTTTGAAGTTTAGCTGTGCTAAGCCTCATTATCAGCCATGCCGTCGCCCGACACTGAGGATCGCTATCTGCAGTCTATCCCTGTCAGTAGCTGCAGCAGACCACGAGAAGTTACGTTTTATGGAAGGCTGAGACTTTAACTTAGAGACTGAACCCCAAGTGGGGAGCCAGGAGCCCAGGCCAGCTCCTGCTCTGGTGCCAGTTCCCTTCGCTGCCTGAGCAGATCATTTCACCCTCCAGCCTTGTGCCCTTTGGCAGTGCCGCGGCCAGGAGGTGCCTGCCTACCTGCTTCCTTGGCGTTTGGGTGGGACGTGGACCCTCCCGTTAAGGTAAAGGCTGTGCAGTCCTCGGATCTGAGTCAGAGAGCTGCAAGTGAGGACAGTTCCCAGTGTGGATGGGAGCTTTTGAATGAGGTATATTAGCTGCACGGATAAAAGGAACGTTGCAGCTCTACTTTGATATAGACTCTCGGAAGAATGCTTTTTACCTGCCCGGTAGTGTTATAATAGATGGATGGCTACTACGTGTTGTGAGCTCCAGAGCTGAGCATCTGTGGAAAGGAGAGGCACATAGTTAGCTGAGTTTCAGGGTGAGACAGAATGGTTACCGGTGCGGCAGAATGGGATGCTCTGTCGCTGTGCATCTTTGTGTGCCAGCTGCACAGGCTCCGTGAGGGCCCTACGGAGCACACCCAGGGGTGCAATGGGAGCACACACGTGGTCCGAAGTGGACTATGGCCCACTGCTAGGCTCTGAACACTGCTTGGAGGAAACGCACGTTGCCTTCAGAGAAAGGCCCATGGGGCAGGTTACCTTAACCACGGGTTTTCTGAAATGTAATTTTTTCATCAGTTTTAATCAGACAGATATGGCGTTTAATCTACATATAGCTCAGGGCCAAACTCTTTCAGTTTTTTTGAGGGCACTGAAGAATGTTTTATGGACAGAGAAACAGGAGAGGCACAAGGTTCCTTTTCAGACCCGCAGCTCGATTTCCAGCTGGTCCCACAGAGTTCATCGCTGTGCGGTATTTGGAGCTCTCCCCACTTCCACTGTGCAGCCGCCAGGATCTGATCTGCACAGTGCAAGGTGCTGAGCTGGGATTAAAGGGGGTTTATGAAGGTTTTGTGTATGTAGGAAATCTTGTATTCTAGGGAGCAGTGCGAAATCAGGCTTACCACCCTCCACCAGTTCCACTCTCTCGTGAGCAGGCCAGACCCTTCCGGGCCTGTTAGGACCATAAGGGCTTTGGGTGGCTTGAATTTGCTTTGAACTTTGGATTCAGATCAGCTTACCTGGGAAGTCCAAACGTGTCCCAGAGTTTGACCAAACTTCAGTTCATGGAAATGTTACTCAATGCCCAGTTTGGCCTGTCCTTTCCAAAAAGTTTTCAATTGTTGTCTGAATTTTAACTTTGAAGAACAACTGTTATTGCTATAAGCTCAGTAGCTGGGAAGTACCTGTTCCATTTCTGTTGGAAAGCTGGGATAGGTTTTCTAAATTGTTACGTATGAGGAAGAAAAAGAGTAGGAAAAACTAGGTACACGTGGAACTACTAAGTACAGTTCTGAGCACAGCTCTATTGGTGGAAGTTAATATCTACTAAAATCTAATCCCCTAAAAGAACTACTCACCCCTAAAAGGGGCTCAGAGAGCAACCAGACTCCCATTCTGAGCCAGTCTTGCAGGAAGAGCACAAAAGGTATGCTATCGCATTAGTAAAACTTGCAGCAGCATCGTGTCTTGGGTGTGAAATTATTTCCGTGCTAAGAGCTGTTTTCAGTTGATTTCTGAACTAGGCTGAGGCAGGGGCACCCATTCAGGAAAGCACTTAAACAGACACTCGAACCTGAGTTAAGTCCCATTGACTTCACTGGTCATGCTTAAGTGTTTTCTGGCCCAATTCAAAGCACATTCAAATCGGAAGAAAGGCGCTCTTTTACTTCAGCAGGTTTTAGATTAGGCTTTTTCTGCAGTCAGATGGTCTTCAGCTACACACTGTTGCTTTTTCAAGTTGAGGACAGAGGCATAGGATTGAGGACAGTGCTATAGGGATACGCAAAATACGGAAAAGTGCATTTGGCTTCTGCTACTTGTGATATTTGCAGCCACTTCTGTTTAATGCTTTTGGGAACCTACATCTGCAGGAGCTGATTTATACGCACAGCTAGGAACCAGCATGTTCGCTGGCAGATGCTGAGACGTGGGAGTGGGTTTGTGCAAGGATATGGGCTTGCTTGCCAGTTTGGTCTCAAATGGCTGGGGTTCTCATCAATCACAGTGACGTGGAGCAACAGTGGTGGTCACAGACCTCCTCTGGGTGGTGGGGGAGATCAGTGTTCCCTGATATCGAGTGGAGACACCGGACCACACAAGGTCAAGCATCTGCCTTAGCCCTCTGGGTTGGTGTAGATGCTGTCTAGTAGCAAGGGGAAAAAAAAAAAAACAACAAAAAAAACCCCCTTGGCTGCTCTGTCTTAATTTAGGATATTGTTCATCTAGAATCTGCTATTCCTGCTTGTCAGCAGGCAGAGTGACAGAATATGTGAAATTAATTTCCGAGGTGGGAAATTGCTAATAATTTATTTACAGCTGGGGCGGGTGTGGAGGAGGGAATACAGTACAGACAAATTTGGGTTTTCTTCATAAAATGTCAATGCTTAGCTCTTCCTGCTTCCTCTGAATGTGCCCTATTAGTTGAGACAACGTCCTGAAGTCCCTACACCTATTAGGGAGACTGCATGCAGCAAAAAGAAGCTCTCTCTCCGCTGTACAGCACCTGCAGGTCTCATTTACAGCACTGTGTGGCCCACTGTGGACACTCAGGACTGCCACGTGTGTGCGGCGTGGCTCGTCACAGCACCCCGCAGCTCGGAAGAAGGCAGTAGCTGTGGTTTAAAGCTAAGGAGAGGGAGTTTGAGAGGACCACGGGTGGGTTGTCATGATGGAGCAGATCTTTTAAGTGGCAAGAGATGCAGTGTTCAGCGTGTGCCATTGACCTCTCTGTTTGTTTGTTGACAGGATACACACCCACTGGGATTTAAACATCTCCTTCCGAGAGACCTCTTGCAGGTACCATTTTGGGGCACCCTCTTTGTATGGTAGGCTAAGAGTTTATGATACGTTACTGGCATATGGATGCTGTTAGATGTAAATGAACATTTCTAACTGTCAGTGCTGCAGGTTTTTTTCTTTCTCCTTTGTTCCTCTTTCTCCCCTTACCACATGTCCTTTCTTTTGTTTTTATTTTGGGGAAAGTTGTCTGTGGGGGGAAACAGTCTCTTTTATGTTGGAAGAGAGAATTGATTAGACTTGTAAAGAAAGCCCATTATTGGTTTTGATACGTTTACTCTGGTCCCTTTTTGGAAGAATGCAAGGTTGGGGTGGCCCAGATCTGTTTCCCGACATAAGAGACACGGCAGTCTGCATCTCATTTACAAAAGTGATTCTTTGCACAAAAGGCTCATTGAAGGCCAAACTGAGGGATGCTCCTGAATTGCTCAGGAGCTGCAGTGTTGTGCGTAGCAAACTTAAAGCAGTGCTACCTTAAAAGGTGGGCTTGTGACTGCAAGTGGCAAGAATCACTGGATGACAGAGGCTTTAGATAATATGATGCCACTGAGACACCCTGGTCTTGCAAAAACTTATGCATGTAGGCATCGACGGCAGCGTTGAAGTACGAAGTACTGGAGCCATTAGGACTCTGCATTTTGCAATGTGAAGTATGACTGGGTTGAACTACAGCTGCAAAAGTGCAGTGCAAGGGTATTTACAAGTCACCTCGGGAAAAAGTTGATGTTCAAAAAATGACAAGTGTTTTACAAAGCATAAATAAAAGAAATGACATCGAAGCCTGAACTGTGAGAAGAGAAGGATTACCAAAGCAGTCTGGTATATAGGTTTTAAGGTCTGATCTCCTGCAGTAACTGATACCGTAAGAAGGTGGAAATTCATAAATTGAAGGTACCCATTACAAACATGAATATTCCTTTGTGACCTCTGGGTTAGTTGATACCCCGAGCATAGTGCATTTTCTTTCTGGGTTGCTAGTAGTCATAAACTTTTCTAACCCTTTAAAAATACAGCTGCAGAAATTTGCCTTTCCACTAGAAAAAGCTGGAATTTTGAAATTTCTCTTTTATGCTCAATTGCCACATCAAGAGTGAAATAGTTGAGCCTGGCAGGTGCTGCTTGTTTTCTAAAACAAGAGAAAATAATCTGTGCAGCTGTGAAACTTCTTGGGGAGCATAGAACCGAAGGAGGTGGGTGGGGTGCAGCGCAGTCCGGAATCTGGTTCTGCATGTGCTACCTGGATGCTATGTGGATACTGTAGAAAGCAGGATCTGGTCCATTGAATCTGCTTGCAAATAGCAGGCCACTAGTAACATTTTTGTTTTGCTAAAAGTAGTTTCTGATGCTTTGTGTAAACTTCCTGTTCAGTTAGAGATTTAAAACCAGTAGGAAAATATTACTACTACTACTACTTGTGGAAGTGCCCACTGCATGCTAGACACTTCACAAACATTTAAGAAACAATTCATACTCAGTGGAGATCAGATTGTCTGGACAAGGGAGTGCAAATAATTTCATCTGATTACTTTTGTGACAAGTCTAAATGTGTGTAAGACTCAGTGCAGCAAATGTAGTGTTTACTCAAGAGGACATTGTTTAAGAGCTTTAGAGAGACGTACCTATCAGTATTGCAGCTGATGTGGGCATTTCTCTGTTATATCTGTGAGCCTCAGAATGTTTTGCAAATCGAAGCATCGGTTACAGGAGCAGAGAGTATTAGAAATTACTTCCATCTCCATCACATGCCCTTCAAATGCTGTGCTAACAAGTTCTGTCCATGTTCTGTGTGCTTCCCAAAAAACTGTGGCACAAGAGTGAAATTGGGCAGCAGGGAAGTGAAGGACAAAGAGTCTCTGTCATTTTAACCCATTCACACCTACCCACTCCCTCCCTGCCCCAACCTGAGGACCGTTTGGACTGTTCTGTTGGCAACATTGGTGTGTGAAGGTCATAGCCTAAACTGTGCACCTGGAGAGACAAGTCCATCTATATTTAGTCGAGTACTGGAGTATGAATTAAGTCTTGGCATCCCTATGAGGTTCAGTGGAGGCAGTGGGGAGCGAAGGGTGGGAAATCTGTACTGATTCATACTCCGTTAGGGAACGAGTGAGGGCAGAGGTATTTACTGGTATGTAAGTAAGCACAGACTTTGGCCCTGAAGCAGAAAACCCCATAATTCCTAAAACTTAGGATGTTAAGAGTACAGAACCCCACGCTGATCAGTAAGCATCCAGAAGCCAGTCTAGCAGGCACATCTCACCCAGCACTCCTATAAAAAACAGCCCAAGTTTTTTGTATGGCAGCCTTTAGAATAAAATCCCTGGTTTGTTGCTATAAGCTTTTGGGACTCTAAAATACAAAAGAATGGATTCCTTCCAGGCAGATCCTTTCATGATAAATTTCAGCCTAGAGCAAAGTTTTATGGCTGAGTTATAAACTCCTGAAAGGCAGAGGTTTGTAATGGAAGTGCTGACACAAGCCTTAATTAAGAGCCATGTGAACAACGATTCTGCACAATGGCAACTAAGGGTGCAAACACCTTTGGAAATTAGAATCCCTATCTTAAAAAAAAAATTGTAGACTTTCAATGCATAGAATAAAATAACAGTCCGATTTTTATGTCAACAAGTACGCTTTTGGGGCTTCCTCAGCTTAACTGTTTGTTCCCTTCAGTTTAGCTCTCTCCTGGCAGAAACATCAGTAGTTCCTCCTGGGAACAGAAGTTTTGCTTTTGCAGATCAAACGGTTAGTTTAGCTATCCAAAATTGTGCCTATCCTGCTAGTTCCGAAGAAAACACCATGTGTTATGCTGTGTGGCAAAGAAAGTCATTTGTGTGTTTATGTGTTGGTGCAGAAAAAGGTTGTATGTATTTACGTGACCCAAATTGCCACACAGTTCTGTAAAACATCTGGCACATCTAAAATACATCACAGGGTGGGCAAAAAGGTTTAGCTGCCCTGTGTTCTCAGTGACCGGCACAATTCAGCACATGGGAGTTGCAGAGGTCATCCCAAACCCATGCCAGGAAACCATCACAACGCACCACACCTGCATGAATACACACTGTCACCGTGCTGTTTTAAATCAGGCAGGTCTGAGAACTGCCATCTTAATTCATCTGCCTCTTTGTCCTAAGTTTGTCTTTGATCTTCCTTTCCAAGTTGTCAGAGGATACCTGGATTCATTGGCTTTAGCCGCCTTAGAATTGCTGTCTGCGGTACAAATCATTCCATATGCAAAGAACTGAAAGCTCCAGGTAGGGGAATTGTCCTGAACGGGGAGATTAGGATCTCTCCTTGTCTTGCCAGGTGCTTTGCTCCCTTCCCTTGTAAGCTTTGAAGTTAACACAGGTTTAAGTTTTTGTTTACAGCTGGACTTCCTTTAAAATTGCCTTTTTAAGGTAGAATTCCCTTGTATGGACATATTGTTCCTGGAATAATTTGCTGAAATGTGTTAAAGTTGTTCAGTAAATGATGCACTTCTCCTTTTATTTCAAGACATGCCTGTCAAATTTTGAAATAGTAAACACAAGGTTAAAGCCTGGTCTCCGCCACAAGATGCCTACTCTCCGCTCCCGTTGATTTCAGCGTGGGTCACAGTTGCTCAGCACCACAGGCAGGATTACCTTTCTGAGGCTGAGGCATCTCATGAAAATAAATTGTGGAATAAAAAGGAGTTCTGGGGAGGAAAAGGATTTTCCTTCTATTTGTTGCCACTTGATGTCTTGAGGGAACTGCAGGGAGGTGAGGGAGAAGTAGATAAGAGGCCATGCATGTTAATACCATGCAGTGATGCAGCTCAGGATGGAATAAACATGTTGCCCACCTGAGAATTTCAAGACACTGCCAGTGCAATTAAGCCGTCCCTGTTTCCAAGGAAATCAAGAGTTGTTCAGTGTTGCCCTTGTTAAAGATGGCCTGACTGGTAGGAAAGAAGATGGTATGTAATTTGGTTAAAGCTGCGTAAAAAGACAAGGAGCATAGCAGAGAATTGAGCTCGCCATCTTGACGTGCAGCCACACGCTTCAGCTTTTAGCTGCGTGGTAAGCAAACTCTGAAAGAATATCCGAGGCAGCATTTCTGTCTTCAAAGTCCTGCGCTGGTGCAGGCATAAAACGGTGACAAAGGAAGAGGCAGGAGCATGCAAGAGAGTCTCTTCACTGCTGTATGAACAAAAAGCCACTTGAGGGGACACTCCAAGCTTACTGGGCCTGCCAGGGGATCATTTTATCCAGGTACATGCCACATGAAGGCTGCGTAAGGAGAGGGAAGGAAAACAAAAGCATCGTTTGCCCAGAGCAAATAAAATGCATTTAACAACCACAGTTTAAGCAAAGATTACAGTGGTGTGTAACCAGCCTTTCTGGATGGGCATGAACCATATTAGAATGTATGTTAGACAGACAGACATTTGACCAAAAGCCTGTGTATCGCTGTGCATGTGTATGTTTAAATCTGACTATAACATACTTAGTGGGCCTTTCCACCTTGATTTAACCCTAGCATAAACCCTTACTCAGGCAGAACTGAGTTTAAAGAGCAGTGCTTACACTGGATTGTTACGTGCATATTTGGTCTATGTGGTACAGCTGCACACTTTTTAGAAAACTCTATTTAAGGAGGAATGAAACAGGTTAGTCAGGAAGGAAGAGGACATTAAAAAATCAGGCCAAGTGGAAGAAGCAGATGAAAAATACAGGAGAAGAAAACTAAAGAGAAATTCACTGATGTAGCTCATTCCTTTGGAAGATACACAGGGAGAGAAAAAGAAAGCAGGAGAGGAGAAATGAAAAGTAGATGGTTCTGAACATGTCAAGGCTGATCCTGACTCAGCAGAAAGTATTGCTGTGTGATGCAGGTAACGTTATCAAGTGCCAGAGCATCCTGCTGCTCTGCCCTTTAAGGATTGATATAGGATGGCTTCTGGGCTGTCTATTTATATATTTAGTTATTTATTTTTCCTAGTAAGCTTTTGCCTTTTAATCTAGGAGACCTGAAGT